AAAACTCACTGATGATGCCGACTATGATGCCGGCGAAACGTTTGAGAATGTACCAAGTTCACAATCTGATGCTGGGAGCTATGACAGCTACTTTGGCAGACGACTTCGGACTAGGTACGTTCTACTAAGTCGACCTGTCAACAAGACAAAGTTGCGACCACGAGGTCAACCCACTTCTATAAATCGAAAGGAGACTGCGACCATAACAGAGGCCACCATCTTGATCTTTATATCTTCAATTAACTTACTTTGTTTGACAGGTGAGCAAGAAGTTAATGTCATCGTTATAGAGCAAGCGTTGCATCGTTGTATTTCATATATCCTTAATCTTACCTACTGCATGAAAATTTAGTTACCTCATTAACAGTTCTAGATATTTTAAAAACTGTTTGACATAATTTTAATATAATATGGATCAGGTGGCATTGTTTTATATCACATGAATAAGAAGGAAGGCAAATGCAACTCATGGTTGCAGAGATTTCACAGTCAACGATAGATGCTTTTCTTTTACAGGAGACGCCTAAGTTCCATCTATCAGCGTTTCATGACCTTCGCTATTGGGCTTATGGAACGGCACGGCATCTTCCGAATCCGTTCCGAGTGACTCGCTTCTCTCAGCCACCGTGGATGCAGTTTCAACAGATAAACATTTAAACTTCAGGCCATCCCTGAACGCCTGCTTCTGCTGTTGCTGTTGTCTCCGTTGCTGTTGCTGAGGTTGCTGATGCTGATGCTGCTGGTGTTGTGGTTGCTGCTGCTGCCGAGGATTCTGATGGCGAGTCATCTGAGACTGAATCGATTGGTGCATTAACAATTGTTTACAATCCGCAAGAGAGTCGCTTTGATACATATGTTGCTGTTGTGTTTGATGGGTATGTTGCTTGTGGTGATTATTCGCCCTCTTATGGTTCTCCAAAGATCTAGCCTGACAAAAGCCACGGCTGCAGACCTCACAGCAAAAAGGTTTTGCCGTCAAATGAGTATAGCTGAAAACACAAGGGAGAAAGATGAGAAAAAGGAGAAAGTTAGGGTAAATAAATTATTCGAAGGCATGAAGACTAAGATGGTATGGTTTTTTGAATGGACTCGTTCTCCTTTCGTTGTGCAGTAGGGTGAGAAAGTCGGTGTGGGGTGTGAAGAGGTTTCGTAAAATCAGCTCAAAAAGACACACCATATCACATTTTAGTAAGCAACTAAAAAATGGTGATAGCGAAGAGGTGATATGAGAATATAGGATACGTGGATAGTCCAAAATAGAAGACGGGATATCAAAACTTTTTAGCAGGCAATTGGTGAATAGATCGACTTCACTTGTCTCTGACGCGTTTTAGTGTGGTGCTGAGACTGGCAAGGCTCACTGGAGATGCCGGTTAAACGCCTGGGGATGTACCAAGTCAACGGTCCGACTTTGGAAATTATCATGCATATTCTGGACCCAGACTACATGCGTTACTCCAGGTCTTCCTGCCAGTAGGACCAGGTTGTAAAAATAAGGTGAAACAAATGCTGAATAATGAGATATGAGTTTGTAGGCATGTAAGTTAAGCTACGAAACCACTTTTCCTAACATCTCATTCTAGGATCATTAACGTTTAACCCCCAAGGAAAGGCATGACTGGGGCTGCGTAAGCTGGCACGTCTGGTTTGGCTGATCAGCGTAA